ATAATTAATTTGAATATATTCAAAAATCACCATGTTTCATGATGTAATTCTGAGTTTGGAATATACCTGTGCTGACTGATTGGTGAGGCTGGTTCCCTCCAAGTCCAGAACTTCAAGAGTTCGACTGGATGCAACAGCGACAGCCAGCATCCCAGCGATGTGATCCCCTGGAAACCACAAGCAGTGGAGAAAGCTGAGACAGAGACTCAGGGTGCAAGGTGCAAACCAAGTGGTTTCAAAGTGCAAACCCTGCATTTCTCCGGCAGAAAAATTTGCACGCTTGAGTGGCAGTTTCATTCACCGGGGAGCAACAGTCAGCAAATAAATGTCTCAATATATAACATCTACATCGACCACTATACTTCAGCCAAAGACTTGCCTCCTTGAATTAATTGTTAAATAGATTTGTGTCAAACCATGACACGCAATTAACTTTACTAATGCTTAAAGCAAACTCTAGAGCTTATTAATACTGATCAAAAGTGTTAACAATATCTATATATCATGTCCAGCATACATCCATACCTCAAAACTGCAGAAAATCGCTCACCTAAGGGATTGTAGTCGAGGTTGAGGACCCGTAACTGTGAGCTATGAGCCACGGCGATGGCCAGTCGAGCCCAACCCTGCGTGCTGACGGCTGGGTTGGCACTCAGTGTAAGCTCTTTAAGCCCTGTGCAGTATTATCGATCGCATAAAACAGCATTGTTAATTCACCACAGATCCAAGCCTGCTGCTAGATTTAAAACTACTACTACAGTATTTTTTCATTTGGATATACATTATTCATAGAATTGTACCAATTTTCCCAAATTACACACCAAAAACCACTCTCAAAATCAATGAAAACCTTACACACGGTCTTCATCAGTGTTTTACAATCCGAATATCAACATTTGGAAGACTTAGTCATTCAAAACAGTTTTGAGGTTAATTAATCTAATTTTGCATCTCTGGAAAATAGTGAACTATGACATTATACTATGTAGAATATCAAAAGTCATTTAATGCATTTTGTAAAGGTAAAAGAGGGCTTCTTGCCCCAGGTTGGGGGCCATCATACCCTTCTTTGAATAATTATACATTTCGTGCTATGACAACAAAAATTAGCAAATATATCCATTAATTTTCCTTAGGAATACATCATCTGGCTCATGCATCATCATGCTAAACTTATATCTAAATATGTGACAGTTTCAAGGTAAATGTACATTCTTCTTATTTTCCCCCATCTTACCATATCTCAACTACAGAAAACAGGCCATTTCATTTATTATTCAATAAAAGTGAAGAAAATGTGTTTCAAAACATGTTTTTCTTAACTCTGTGTTCACGGTGACAATGTGCCAAAGCGCTGAGAGCTGTGGAGTTCGGAGAGTTTGTATTGTATTGTATTGTATGTAGAGTGGTGTATTGATTCAGTCAACTGAGAAATACTGTAATATTCACTAAAAACTCTAACAATGTATAATGTGACTAACTGCTTATTTAAGCGTAATGTATCACAACAGTTTTTTTGTATGGAAACTGTCTTTAGTAAACACCGTTTACTGGTGAAGCTGTGATGTTTTACCTGATTTGGCTCCATCCGGAGGAAGCATGCCACAAATGAGGCGAACTGCCTCATCTCCCAGCATGCAGTCCCCCAAATCCAAGGACACCAGTGAGGGGTGAGTGGAGAGGGCTCCATTCAGGGTGACCAGTCCTGCATCTAAAAGTGGACTTCCGTGGAGACTGTAAAGGCACAGGAAAAGCGCACAGAGACAGACATGATTTTCTGTGCTACATTTGCATCCCCTGAAGAAAAATTACAATGCTTTCAAGACCGCAGAAGTGTTTCAACTGTTGGTTGAAAAAAAATTTGTTGAAAACACTTTGCTGTTGTCAGACTCTTGTTTTCTGCCAGATGTGTACAAGAATAAACAAAATAAGGATTATGTGTGACTTTAAAACACAAGTAGTTAAACTAATTCAAAATTAGAGGGGAAATCACTATAACACTTGACCACAGATGTTGCAAGTATCTGTATTCTGTAGCCAGAACTATAAGATTTACAGGAAGAAAAAAAAAACACGACTGAAGGTTGTAACACTTCCCAATACAGCAAATGAATATAGCCTAAATGATACATTTGACAAACACAATTTTAAACAAAAACTGAGGTTGTAAAAAGAGCAATCACAATTCAGTATGCAAACGACCTGAGGAGACACTGCAGCCTCTGCTGTTACAGTGACGTAATCCAAATCCCTTGGAGCTGCAGAGCAAACATTCTAACAATGTGTCAACAGAAGATCTTCAAACTTTCCCTTCATAAACACGAGTAATATTATATACAGTACATTTTGTTGTACAATGCACATATTTACTCATTTAGCGGACGTACAAATGAGGAACATCGCACTAGCTTAAAGCAGATAGCCTACTGGATGTGGTTTAGGGGTTGCTTATTTGTCAAAGTCAAAAAGCCCAGCAGTGATATGTGTTTTCGAAATGTCTCGATTCCGTTCTTCAATTTAAGTCTGCTATTGACTGACTGACAGGAAACTTCTCCTCAATAATAGCCTATCGCTATAAATATGCGCGAAGATTATTTTGATGATAATAGTGACTAACTAAAGAATCCTTAAAGAAGCACTCACAAGAGGGTCTGGACGGATCTGTTGGCCTTCAGAGCATCTGCCAGCTGCTTGGTCCGGCCGATGGTGGACACCACGCCGAGGTTGAGGTTGAGCTGCGCGAGAGAGTGCGACTCCGCCACGCCGCGACACACGCGGCCGAAGTCCCGGTCAGACAGCTGGCAGCCGCGCACCGACAGCAGCCGCACGCTGTTCTCCTTCAGACTGTCGCATATGTCTTTGATCTCCGCGCCGGACAGCGCCTCTCCCGTGATCTGAATAGAGCCCGGCAGCATTTCGGTGGTGTCAAACTCGATTAACCGGCATTATGGATCCTGGAGGTCGGATCCGCGGCGTCTAATCCGGTGCGCCAGGCTCGGAATATCGCGGAAGGAAGGAAGGTGTGGTGCTGCTGATGCTGCGGTCTGCTTCAGCGTCTTGTGCGTTTGCCTCCCGACATGCTGGAGGATCCTCATCAAACCATGACACGCAATTAACTTTACTAATGCTTAAAGCAAACTCTAGAGCTTATTAATACTGATCAAAAGTGTTAACAATATCTATATATCATGTCCAGCATACATCCATACCTCAAAACTGCAGAAAATCGCTCACCTAAGGGATTGTAGTCGAGGTTGAGGACCCGTAACTGTGAGCTATGAGCCACGGCGATGGCCAGTCGAGCCCAACCCTGCGTGCTGACGGCTGGGTTGGCACTCAGTGTAAGCTCTTTAAGCCCTGTGCAGTATTATCGATCGCATAAAACAGCATTGTTAATTCACCACAGATCCAAGCCTGCTGCTAGATTTAAAACTACTACTACAGTATTTTTTCATTTGGATATACATTATTCATAGAATTGTACCAATTTTCCCAAATTACACACCAAAAACCACTCTCAAAATCAATGAAAACCTTACACACGGTCTTCATCAGTGTTTTACAATCCGAATATCAACATTTGGAAGACTTAGTCATTCAAAACAGTTTTGAGGTTAATTAATCTAATTTTGCATCTCTGGAAAATAGTGAACTATGACATTATACTATGTAGAATATCAAAAGTCATTTAATGCATTTTGTAAAGGTAAAAGAGGGCTTCTTGCCCCAGGTTGGGGGCCATCATACCCTTCTTTGAATAATTATACATTTCGTGCTATGACAACAAAAATTAGCAAATATATCCATTAATTTTCCTTAGGAATACATCATCTGGCTCATGCATCATCATGCTAAACTTATATCTAAATATGTGACAGTTTCAAGGTAAATGTACATTCTTCTTATTTTCCCCCATCTTACCATATCTCAACTACAGAAAACAGGCCATTTCATTTATTATTCAATAAAAGTGAAGAAAATGTGTTTCAAAACATGTTTTTCTTAACTCTGTGTTCACGGTGACAATGTGCCAAAGCGCTGAGAGCTGTGGAGTTCGGAGAGTTTGTATTGTATTGTATTGTATGTAGAGTGGTGTATTGATTCAGTCAACTGAGAAATACTGTAATATTCACTAAAAACTCTAACAATGTATAATGTGACTAACTGCTTATTTAAGCGTAATGTATCACAACAGTTTTTTTGTATGGAAACTGTCTTTAGTAAACACCGTTTACTGGTGAAGCTGTGATGTTTTACCTGATTTGGCTCCATCCGGAGGAAGCATGCCACAAATGAGGCGAACTGCCTCATCTCCCAGCATGCAGTCCCCCAAATCCAAGGACACCAGTGAGGGGTGAGTGGAGAGGGCTCCATTCAGGGTGACCAGTCCTGCATCTAAAAGTGGACTTCCGTGGAGACTGTAAAGGCACAGGAAAAGCGCACAGAGACAGACATGATTTTCTGTGCTACATTTGCATCCCCTGAAGAAAAATTACAATGCTTTCAAGACCGCAGAAGTGTTTCAACTGTTGGTTGAAAAAAAATTTGTTGAAAACACTTTGCTGTTGTCAGACTCTTGTTTTCTGCCAGATGTGTACAAGAATAAACAAAATAAGGATTATGTGTGACTTTAAAACACAAGTAGTTAAACTAATTCAAAATTAGAGGGGAAATCACTATAACACTTGACCACAGATGTTGCAAGTATCTGTATTCTGTAGCCAGAACTATAAGATTTACAGGAAGAAAAAAAAAACACGACTGAAGGTTGTAACACTTCCCAATACAGCAAATGAATATAGCCTAAATGATACATTTGACAAACACAATTTTAAACAAAAACTGAGGTTGTAAAAAGAGCAATCACAATTCAGTATGCAAACGACCTGAGGAGACACTGCAGCCTCTGCTGTTACAGTGACGTAATCCAAATCCCTTGGAGCTGCAGAGCAAACATTCTAACAATGTGTCAACAGAAGATCTTCAAACTTTCCCTTCATAAACACGAGTAATATTATATACAGTACATTTTGTTGTACAATGCACATATTTACTCATTTAGCGGACGTACAAATGAGGAACATCGCACTAGCTTAAAGCAGATAGCCTACTGGATGTGGTTTAGGGGTTGCTTATTTGTCAAAGTCAAAAAGCCCAGCAGTGATATGTGTTTTCGAAATGTCTCGATTCCGTTCTTCAATTTAAGTCTGCTATTGACTGACTGACAGGAAACTTCTCCTCAATAATAGCCTATCGCTATAAATATGCGCGAAGATTATTTTGATGATAATAGTGACTAACTAAAGAATCCTTAAAGAAGCACTCACAAGAGGGTCTGGACGGATCTGTTGGCCTTCAGAGCATCTGCCAGCTGCTTGGTCCGGCCGATGGTGGACACCACGCCGAGGTTGAGGTTGAGCTGCGCGAGAGAGTGCGACTCCGCCACGCCGCGACACACGCGGCCGAAGTCCCGGTCAGACAGCTGGCAGCCGCGCACCGACAGCAGCCGCACGCTGTTCTCCTTCAGACTGTCGCATATGTCTTTGATCTCCGCGCCGGACAGCGCCTCTCCCGTGATCTGAATAGAGCCCGGCAGCATTTCGGTGGTGTCAAACTCGATTAACCGGCATTATGGATCCTGGAGGTCGGATCCGCGGCGTCTAATCCGGTGCGCCAGGCTCGGGATATCGCGGAAGGAAGGAAGGTGTGGTGCTGCTGATGCTGCGGTCTGCTTCAGCGTCTTGTGCGTTTGCCTCCCAACATGCTGGAGGATCCTCAAGGCTGTGAACCCAAGATGATGCTGGTGCTGTCGGTTACTAGCTAGAGCGTCGCTCACGTTAAATTGTTCCCATCTCAGCAACGAAACGGGCTTTAGGCGACTCTAGGTTTGAGGTAATCCGCCTGACAGCTGATGCTGGGATTGGCCACAAGGAGAGAACGCGTCTGTGCCGAGCGCCAGTGTAGTGAACGGAAAATGGGCGCAAGGTAACGAGTGTAGACTGTATGGATGGATGATTACTTGGGTCTTGGAAGTAGGTTGTATCTATTGCATTAAATAGAACACCGGGGCAAGTTGTCACACACTTCGCCCTAGTGATGATTGTCAGCGTAGGTTTATTTTACAGTGTTTCTGTACAAATCAAGTTCTCACTACGAATAAATAAATAAAAAAAATATTTTCAGTTATTGCTCATGAAAAAAATGTTGTTTTCAATATTTACAGTTAGCCTAATTTAACACTGTAGTGGGATGTAAATGTTCAAAGTGGGGAAATGCCTATATAGGTTTTGCAACAGAATGTAAACGTTTGAAGCAACACAAAAATAACTTATAACTTATTTGAAACAAATGAACTTGTAACACATCAAAAATAAAAAAAAATAAAAAAAGCTGTAATTCTTTATAAAATCATATAAAACGTGACAATTGCCCCGACCTGACATTTTTTTGAAAAATGTCTTTTGTTCTGACAGTTTAACCACTCAGTTAACCCTGTAATATCTGACACATGAAATTGTCAGAGAAATTCATTTTTATTTTGAATGAAACTTATTTATTGAACCTTTAGATAAAATCTAAAAATATGCACTTAAGAAAGAAAGATAGGAAGAACGAAAGAAAGATAGAAAGAAAGAAAGAGAATAGTTTGCATATATTTGCATGTGTTTGAATATTTGCTACTTCAGGCTTTTATGGCTCATAGCAGAACATGGAGCTCATACTCGAGGAGAAAAAA